CATGTACTGGTGAGGAGGGTGGCATGACACCCAGCAGGAATAAAAACAAGACCTGTCAAAGGGCGGATGAGCTCGACTGCGCCAACGGCCATCATGCACAAAACGTTGCATCATTATTTCCAATGTAAAATGAAATAATATATTCGTTTGAAATCATTGTAAAATATTTTTGTTCTCATTATTGTAAATATGAGTGGTAATATGAGAAAGAATTTGTTGTAATCAAAGCATTATATTATCGATTAAAATTAACTAAATAGCTGAMAATATCACATCAGCAAAAGCAATAAGAAAGCATCCTGTTTTATTCAATAGTGCACACTCAAACTCTTGGTTTCRGGGCTTTTGCTTTAAAATGTTGATTTTTTCCAAATTGGGCTTCCTGYGCTTTTTATATAAAATGACAGGGGAATAAGGTGAATCCATTTTCTYGAGAACAAAGCAAAATTTCGCTGGGGTCCCCTTTCTAATTTGTTGCCTGTGTAGAAAGGATACCAAAAACAGAATTTGACACTTTCTTCACAAAACTGAACAATTCTAGGTCTTATCCGCCGGACTAAATTTATATGACATTGAATTGACATCTTGCCGATCATTCGCTAATATAAAAGTGACTGATTAGAATTGAAATTTTTTCATTAATCATTCATTTCAACAGAAATTGTTCGTAACTACACTCGAAAGTCTTTCAAGTGGAAGCCACTCGATTACACTCACTTTTATGAATAATTTGTCATGCATGACTCTTGAGTAAAGATGGTCACTCGATAATCACACTCTCGAGTATAGAGCAAGTGGATGGTACTTTACTCGAGGCAGGTACTGTAGTTTGTCGAAAACTCCCCAAATACTTTCATTATGTTTATTAGTTTATATCATATTTTGTATATATTAAGTACCTTTACTGGAAAGCTTAATTGTTATAGTTGTATAAAATGTAATTTATTATTTATCAATAAAAAATAAGTTGTTGGACGCTCATATTTATGCCAAATAAACCAATGGAACTGCTCTTGAAAAACTATATATCTGGACTGTTTTTTTGTAGGATGCGTGTTATCACCATCGATAATGCAGTTGTGAAGGGTTATCATGAGTTTCAGATAAGACCTCCTCCGGCCTTACATGTACTAYTGCCAGTTTCAAAGGAGCATGGGAATAGGCATGACGCAAATGCATGTCTCGTTTGGGTACCAGAGCTTAAAGATATACCAACAACACTCTGGAACGATATAACGGATGCTAAACACAGTGAAAGAGTGCATACTATAGCTGGTCTACCTATCGGTAGGGTACCCAAGGGTCTGGCCCCATGTTTCAGGGAATTGTTGGAATCTTCTGATGTGGAGTGCATCAACTGGTAAGTGTTAACAGAGTAATACATTATTTTTTGTAAAGATGTCTTTAAACTGTTGTCTTTTATTTTGCAGTGAACAAACTGGCTCTCCGTGCAAAAGTTTTCAACCCTGGCCTGAACAGCAATGCACAGGGGGAGGGGCTGTCATTCCTTGCAGCTATCGAGTTGTGACCAAGAGCAACCATCAAAGTATCATGGACAAAATCTGAAAAGCATTASAATCCATGCCTGGAAAAGTGGTTCTAGAAGTCAATTTGTGCTTTTTTTGACTTTTTTTGTAGTTAAAAAAGAATAAAACCTGTTATTATATATCAAGTGTCAAAGTTCACTTTTCCTAGTATCTTATTGGTCGAGTGTGTACCACCTGAAAGTCACAAAATTTTACTGTCTCCCGGCAACTGCCCACCAGCGGTCAATAATATGTTGTGGACCGTCAATAAGTACAAAGTCGCAGAAAAACAATCTTCAGTGTCGTGAAAATCTCACATTTACGGACGTTGCAATTCCAAAATTGTTATGAAACATTTAATTTCGACTACAAATTCTTGGGTTGCAACCACGTGACAAAAATTCATGACGTCATCACAAGACGCCATCTTGGATGACAACCACAATAACATGGCGTCTAACATGAGTAGCGTTCATTTCTCTGAGTATTTTTCGAGTTTATAAGCTTCTGCGAAGACAAGATACAAAGAAAAAGTAAATATGTGTGGCTTTGACCCGTATTCCTTAAAATCATCGGAGTTTAAAGATGATTTTGCTGCATTACCGCCAGTTGAATATCCAGACATTGTAAACTACCTTGTACTACAAACTTCATGGTTAACAAACAGTCAGATGAAAGCCTACAAGAGTCTAGAAGCTTATAATTGTTTTATATCTGGATGGGTCAGTAGTCTTTTGACGAAAGAAAGTGCCAATGAACGAGTAGTTGTGCTTGCAAGGGTAAGTAATCAAGTGAAATATCCGAGTTTTTGAGCTAGCTAACTTAACTTACATGTGAAATTGACGAAATGACCAGGAAATGCTCATATCAGTTCAAGAACGTTTGATTGATATATTGTATCATGATTTCTTTAGGTTAACCATTCTCAAAGAACTAAAGAACCTCCTCTCAAGACATGGTTTCTAGCAGAAAAAACTGGTGATGTCCTTCTTGGTCATTGCTCCTGCATGGCTGGACTAGGGGAAGCGTGTTCACATGTAGGAGCACTTAATGCACACAGGAAATCAGCAAATGGTTACCTTCACATATCAAAAAAGTACCCTATCTTCCTGTCAGTGAAGTCAACTTCAGCTCAGCAAAGAGGCAATACAAAGACATTGAAGACAAAGAGAATGTCAACCCAAAAGCAGCCAAAAGGTTAATACCTACAACAACAGCAGCTGAAGAAGCAGCCTTTTTYAAAAACCTGTCACAGTGTTAAGTGAAATCAGCAGTACTATCACTTGTGCCTCCATATAATAAGAACTATAAGCCAAATGAACCAGAAAGTTTGAAGAGTCTCTACAAAGAGGATTGTGTCCATTTAAGCTACGAAGAATTGTTGAATGTCTGCAACGAAACTGAAATTTCCATCACTGAAAGAGACTGTAGAGTTATTGAACAGTCAACAAGGAAACAATCGTTGTTTTTTATAATTTCTGGGATTCTGTAGAATTTTTTGTCTTTGTCACGTGCATTGCTGTTTCCACAGCCATAAACGGCACATAAAACACCCATTTTCGAATTAATATCATGTATTGCTGACAAGTTTTACAAAGATGAACGACGAGAACTTCCTCACCGTGCGGCCTCCATCTTGGATGTGGTTATCATCCAACATGGCGTATCGTTAATTTGCATAACCCTGGTGACRTGCAACCCTCAGCTTCGCTTCGGGAAACATCAGCGGTCTYGGGACCACAAAACATACTGTTTCCCTTGGTTCCAGTAAATAAGTGTTAATTGAAATAGCCTCATTCGATTTCGTTTATGTACGAKTCAATTCCAAAGGTGCCCATCCACCCCCCCRTGCAAACCCCAGGCATTTGACTCGACTCTACCTCTGTACAGTGGGGAATTTGACTCTGATTTAGGAGCAGACGGGCGAGCATTTGACGAGTAATCGACCATCTTGGAAATTATCGATTCAGATGCGAAACCGCTATTTCGTGACACAATACGAACTTTTAAGCTTAAGTTAAAAATAGAAATATCTCGGGAACCTAAGCATTTTAATAATAATAATACCTATTATTCATATAGCWCCGATATCCTTACAGTTSAAATCGCTATTAGCAGCCACGAGGCTTACAATCATTTTTGGGAACATTCTCGATCTTTTGTACTTTCACGRTGAGAAATCACGATACAAAAAGCAACAAAAACACTCGAAAACTAGYRTAAAAAAACTGACTTATGGGGCGGGCATTTGACCACTCATTTGCTTTTACTAGTGGGCATTTGACTGTCAATTTTRCCCATATGGTGGGGAATTTGACCAATTTTTTTCCAAAAATTCAAATGCCCRGGGGTTCGCCYGGGGGGGATGGGCACCTTTGGAATTGACTCATACATTACTTACGCAAGACATGTAGCTTACAAGTATTATTGATTTGTCGGAAAAGTTCCCCCTTCTAAATGAAATTTCAATTACTTTTCGGCCCATTTATTAGAAATGATGTGAGTAAAAAACTAAATGTTCGCGATATTCTTTTTGAGAAAAATTGAAGTGGCACGTTACTGGACCCGGTGGCACGAAATGAGTGAGGTGCGGGATTGCAGAATTTACACTTTATACTCTTCGTGTCTATTGTGTATAATTATACATCTTTTTTGTCTATTCAGTGTATAATTATACACAATAGACATAAT